ACGCTAACTTCGTTTACAGATGCACTAATAGAAGTATCCTGGCCACTCTACGTCAGAAAACCCACTCCTCATATCCTCTTATATTGGGTATCGAGATCCCTAAAGAGCGTAGCAGCGCTGGGATCCGGTCCTAGGTGTGGGTCAAATCGATTAGCTAGATTACATGTTTCAGCTTTAGGCCAGCAAAGTCCAGTCTGAATACGTGTTTTTGTTGGTCCCTGTTGAAAACCAGAGTAGACTCAGAGGCGGCAACGCTTGAATGTATTTATAACAAGATTAACTTGTTTTTCATGCAATTATTTCAATGCTAGAGCCAGATCATGGGCAACGTTTCTTCTAACGGGCAAGGTAGGATTCTTGGGGGTATATTTGAAATCATCGACTATTTGAACAACCAGCATCTACATCTTATGACAATTGCTACAGGAGACGGAGCATCTGATGGTATGACCGGAGTGCTATCATGTCGATTCTCTAAATCAGTAATCATCACTGTGCCTCAAGACTGAAAATTAAGAGGAATGGTGGAGTTATCTTTCTTTACTTTATTTACTGGCTTTCTTTCTAAATTTTTTTTTAAGAATTGTAAATGTGCATAGTGGTAAGTCACATATTAGTCCTATATGTCGTAAGTCAGGAACAGTTGTAATTGATTTATTCAGTGAACAGTGGCTGGCCGAATCTTCAGTACGCTGGACGATTGTGGGGCAGATCTGGGTTCGAATCCTCGGTAAGATGTGGAAATGTAAATTTTTTTTTTTTTAAATCAAGAGCAAAAATAAACATCCTTACAAGCTCAGTTTCTAGTGATAACACTAGCCTGGTGGGTCTAAGTCCACAGGTTCAAGTCCCCACCGCCCTTTAAAAAGTGGTACCATATGGGCGTCTGTTGCTTAGGGGCGAACGCGCTTCGCAATGCCAGGGTGTAGGGTTCGATCCCAGCTGCGAACGATTTGTCTTGTGTTGGTTTCGACAGTGGCACCTTGAACTGACCGTTCAATCGCAGTCTCCTGAACCTATAATTTGCTTAGAAAAACCACAACAGCCAAAATAGGCTTGCTTTCGATCTGCAACGTCCTGTAAAAAATACGTAGCTAACCTTTAACTATATGGACAGTAAATATTTTAAAGTATATATACATAATCAACCCTATTTCATGCAAAACTGTTATTGTCAGTAGAATGTCACAAAAGGAATTTCCCTGTGTGTGTTCTGCAGCCCCATTATTGGGAGAAACTAACATACCCACTGCCCCAAAACAAGCAGGTCGTAAGAGTCGACTAATTAGGGTTGGTTCTTTTCAAGTTTAAGTACATGAGAGGCACGGAACCAACAGTCTGTTACAAATAAGCCAGAACTGTAGAACAGATATGCAGCACGTAAAACTCGTTCTGGAAAAAGACCAAAGTCCAGAAAGGGACGAACAACAAGAATATTTCACAGGAGTTCACAGCCAGTGAACGCGAGGATTTACAGCCGGTGAATACGGGAAAGGAAACAGGATAAAATAATTGGCTTTTGTCTCTTCAACATATTCGTTTGGTTCTTAGAATCTATCCTGTTGTGAATGAATGTTGATACTGTTGGGTTTCACTGCACTGCTATAATGTGTGCAAGTACCCTTGCAGTTTCTGAATGTCACTAACTTATAATAATGCTTAGTGATGGGTATTATTGTCAACTATCTTCCGAATGTCGGAATGTCCTACAGTTTACAAAACAATGATTTCGACCTAAATTGAACCTGCGCCTAACATCTACATGCAGACACAAGGCAGACAAATAATATATACTTGCTTCATCTAATCAGGTGTTACTGTAGTATGCACCTGACGAGACGCAACGAAATATGACAGACAATCAATGTTGCAATCTGTTGTTTGTATCTTTGTTTGAAGGCCAGCAATAATCAGAGCTCAAAACCAAATCTAAGAGTGTGGGTTTAAACCGTGATTACACTATAATTAATTGTTGAGGTCAAGTTTGGGGAAGGGGTGATATTTATAATGAGTGACTAAACTTATTTAAGTAAGATCGGGTTTGTTTTATATTAGATACAACAAATACTTATATAAATATATTCTGATATTGACTATTATTTGTCTTCTATTATTTGAAAAAAAATCACCAAAAGCGTTACAACAAGCAAGTTTTGCCTGGCGTGTTTTGGTATACAGCAGTCGCAGTGAACTACCGTCAGTCCCTAGGGACATGAAGCTGTGTCGCTCGTTTTGGTAACAGGGTAAAGTCCTATGGACGAGTGACGGTCTCTGCAACATAGTCTACATAACACTCTATAATATTTCTTCTTTCCTCTTTGAAATAGATTATCTATATGTGAAATGTTGTCTCATTGTATTTTGTAATTCACTCTGTGACCTGTAAAGTTTGGCTTGTACCGCTGTTTCTCTTGGTCAGAAGATTTGCCTTGATGTGTTTGTTGTATTTCGGATAGTCTTTGAGGACGGAATCTGTTTTCTCAGGTGCCAATCCACATGTGCACATGGCTGATTCGCCGAGCTTTAATTTTGTGTACATGTGGCTGCGATGTCGATTGTTCTCTATTCTAAGATGTAGTATAATGGATTGCTCTGGTCTGTCTATAATATAGTCATCGTCCTGTGCCGGTTTTGATGGCTTTCTGATTAATTTGATTATCTGTATTATTCTGAGGCTGTTCTTCTCTCAGACGTCGCATCACTATAGCCCGCTGTCATAGACCTCGTTTAAATTTCGTTTGAAAGTCCGTTTTTATCCTCTATAGGAGACTGTCTGCAGCTAAACTCCAGCAAATGTATGTGTCAATGCTGGTATCTTTCAGGTCGCGTCTCTACATGTCCTTATAGGGCAGCTTTGGCCTTCCTGCACATCTTTTCCCTATTTCCAGTTCACCATATAGAAAATCCTTTGGAATACAAACATCCTCCATGTGTGAGATATGTCCCAAGCAGCTCAACCATCGTTGCTTCAGTAGCAAGCACACTGCTGGCATTTCTGCTCTTCTTTGTATACATTTGTTGAAGACTGGGTCAAAGTGTCCGAGCAAGAATCAAACCTGTGCAGGGTTCTAATCACTTTGGATCGTGAGTGCAGGGACTGGCCGGCTGGTTCTGCAGAATCAGAAGTTCAACAAAAGATCCATGGCAGTTCTCGTCCAGGTGATGTGATTCTCTATACAGATGGCTCTGAGTAAAGAAGCAGACGCGGTTCATCGCAAAAGCGAATAGATGTCGCTCATGCAGCAAAGCCTAGCATATGATATCACAACGTCTAGTTTGAGAATAGAGGTGGAGGCAGTCACTGCTGCCTTCTGCTGACTTGAGAATCCGCTGTGAACACATGTAATTGTAACTGAATCACAGAGCATGGTGAGAAAAGTGGGGACAGGCATGCACCGCTTAAAAAGTCCCAGGTAGATAGCATCCTTTGGATTTTTTTCTCCATGTCACTCCAGTATGTTGAGAAACGAGCAGGCAGAGAGAATGGTTGGTTCTGTACTACTTGTTGGTGAATTGATGTATGACCCGCTAGATGGTGTGACGACAATTTGGGAGCGAGTGAACAGTACGGAAGCACAAATTGATCATTACGGTCTGAAGAGAATGGCGCTGTGAGGAGTTACCAGGAGATTTGGCCGACGCTCAACACTCAAGGCAAAGGCGAGACAGATAAACAGTCAGACAGTTACTGGTGCCATTTGAATTGGAACTCTTCGCTTGCTACTGTATATGGGGACGAAGCGCTTATGGTAGAGTCCCGAGTGCTGTGATGTTCGATTCTTAATTCAACATTCAACATTTTAAGGAAGCGACATACGCATACAAAGTGAGATCGGTTTTTGAAACCTTCCTCGCAAAAGGAACAGAAGAAAGCCACAGATGACAACTAAGGACAGAAAATTTGTTTTTAATTTAATGGAAGGTGAATTATATACTAGATACACATGTATCAGGGACTGATTTAGTGTAACTGCTAGACGCTCTCCTGTGGATGCTAAGGTCGTGGGTTCAGACCCTGACGGAGCCGGATTTTTTTTCCCTTCAAAAATGACCTTGGCTTCCGGGTCGACCCAGCCTTAAATGGGTACCAGGCAAAATTCTGGAAAGTAAAGGCGGCCGGCACAATACTGATCACATCACCCATTGAGTCCTGTTGGTCTTTAAAATATAGGTCTAGCCATTTTTGCCCGATACGTCTGAAGGCGCGGGAAAAGGTACTTCACTGTATTTACATCTGTATCATGTAAAACCAAAAGCTTTCTGTTATGCCCTGTCTGTTTGCCAATCTTTTTACATGGCCAAACCATTTGATTTGTTGTTTAGCTATAAAGTTTATTATTGGTTCTTTCTACTTCGGATGTCAGTCATAAGTTGTCTTCGGCCGCTCGCTTCTTTTAGAACATCCGCTTTATTTTTTTTCGGCTGTCCAATAATGTTAGGCGTTCTTCTATAAAACCATATGGTCGACAACATCTGCAAAAATTATTTGTTTTGTCTCATAACACCAAGATCACACACACACACACACACACACACACATATATATATATATATATATATATATATATATATTTATATATATATATATATATATAACTTATATTAGATCTATTGTTCTATATGGCTCTGAAACCTGGGTACCAAAAAAAAAAAGGACAAAACTTACAATCTGTCAGTAGCTATACTTTTTTTTCATAACTGTATACTACGGGTTCCAGCAAGCATCTGTAAACTTAGTATTAAATTTGTCATTACTGATCAGTTGCAACTTTAACTCCTTCTGGTCATAGGTGTTGGGTTTAAATGAACTAAACAGGTCTAACGGTGTTGAACTGGGACTCGACAGCATATAAGTAGCTAGGACTAAAATATGTAGATACATGTGTTAACGTGGTGACAGTAAGATGTGATATTATCTTTCAGATAGCCAAGACACATTGTGAGTTGAAAGAGCTAATCTCTGCATTATATTTTTAATTAAATTGATGCAAATCTGCACGATGTCACGACCGCGGAATTCAACAAATTCTTCTGAGGAAGACGTTTTGTCCGACCTTTTAACGGTGGAACACGCCGGGATGTTCCTTCTGGTAAATGTTGTCATGGTTTGTAGCGTTACGAGTTTCCTTGGCATCATCGCCAACGCCATCAACCTGGCGGTGTTTGTGAAACAGGGGCTTCACAACACCATCAACATTTGCTTTCTTGGGCTGGCCATCTCCGACATGTGCTGTCTGCTGACTTTACTGTGGATATCCATCTGCATGAACCCGCTGGTGATTTCTTCAGGTGTGCCTTGGGTGGCCACAGACTTCACCTATTTAACAGGAGCGTGGCCTCACCATATCTCTGGACGCATCACCAGCTACATCACAGTCTACATCACCGCGGAAAGATGTCTTTGTATCATATTTCCTCTAAAAGTCAGGCAAATAATGACGCCTACGATAACGACCGTTGCTCTTTGTCTAATTTATATAATTAATATTCTAATGCTGTGTCCGGAGTATGTGACTTTGTATCTTGACTGGACATATTTTCCAGCGTACAACTCCACGCTTTTAGCCATACACTATTTGGAAGGTAGGGAGAAGGCATCAGGGCTAGTTTACTTTCTTAATTCCGCATCTGGGCTAATTGCTTTCGTGTCTGTGGCTGTTCTGACGCCTATTTTGGCGGTAAAACTCAAAGAAGCCTCAGCATGGCGCGCGAAATCCAAGTCTGCTAACATTCGTGACGCCATGTCTAATCGTGACCAGAAGACGGTTAAAATGGTTGTTTTGATTGCCACAGTTCTGATTATTTGCTTTACTCCAGGAGTGGTTTTTGGAACGGTGACTTTTATTGAACCAGAGTTTGACATCAACAAGAGATATGCCAACACCGTGGCCTCTTTGTGGACAATCGCCTGCATCTCTCAGTCTGTGAATTCTAGCATTAACATTTTCCTTTACTACAAAATGAGTTCTAAATACAGACAGACATTTCATGCTCTCTTAGGTACGTGGCACAAGAAGTCTATTGAATTAGCCAGAATTATAACGATTGTTTTATGAGCCTTTTCAAAATGCTAGAGAAAAATTATTTGAAGCAGCAATGATGTGGAATTTTACAGGAATTATGAGAACATCCTGAACAGATAAAAATAGTTTTTCTTTTTTTCCTCCTCTTCCGCATCCTCCTCCTCCGTCTCCTCGCATCTTCTATTCGTTTGCATCTTCTTCCTGTTTATGAATGTGAGTTTGGAAGTATAAATGTGTGTGTAGGATTATGAGTATACGTGAGTTTGTGAGTAAGCAAATATAAGTGCGAAAATAGGCGTCTTTGTGGGCTGTATGTATATATACCAGTGCCTCACAGATTAGTGTCTCCCCAGTATGTCTCAAAGACTAGTGTCTCCCCATAATGGCTCACATATTAGTGTCTCCCCAGCGTGCCTCACAGACTAGTGTCTCCCAAGTATGTCTCTCAGACTGGTGTCTCCGCAGTATGTCTCACAAACTAGTATCTCCCCAGTATTCTCACGGACTTGTTTGTCTCGCGGACTAGTGCCTCCCCAGTATGTTTCAAAAACTAGTGTCTCCCCAGTATTTCTCACAGACTAGTGTCTCCCCAGTATGTCTCACGGACTATTGTCTCCCCCAGTATGTCTCACGGACTAGAGTCTCCCCAGTATTGTCTCACAGACTAGTGTCTCCCCAGTATGTCTCACGGACTAGTGTCTCCCCAGTATGTCTCACGGACTAGTGTCTCCCCTGTATATCTCAGGGACTAGTGTCTCCCCAGTATGTCTCACGGACTAGTGTCTCCCCAGTATGTCTCACGGACTAGAGTCTCCACAGTATTGTCTCACATATAAGTGTCTCCCCAGAATGTCTCACAGATTAGTGTCTCCACAGTAATGTCTCACATATAAGTGTCTCCCCAGAATGTCTCACAGATTAGTGTCTCCACAGTCATGTCTCACATATAAGTGTCTCCGCTGTATGTCTCACAGACTAGAGTCTCCACAGTCCCATCTGACCTCACTAAAATAGTGTTCTTTTCCTGTATGTACTCCAGATTGGTTATTTTCATCAGGTACATACTCGCCTCACATATGTCCTTCCCTAGAATGTCCTCAAGAGTCTTTCTCTTAGGGTATCTCAAACAGTATGATTCTCAGTAGCATAATTGTCTCCTTCTGTATGCCTCACGACTAGTCATAGTGCTTTCCAGTATGTCTGCACGGACTAGTTTCTGCCCATGTATGTCTCACGACTAGTAGCTTTCTCACACTATTGTCTCTCCAGTATGCTCCTCAAGCGACGCTGTTCTTCTACAGTATTTCCATAGGACATAGTTTCTCTCTCAGTAGTCTCACGGACTAGTTGTCTTATAAAGTATGTCTCACTGTGACTAGTTATGTCCACGGAACTTAGTTATCTACAGTATGTCTCACGGACAGTGTCTCCTACAGTATGTCTCACGGACTAGTATGTCTCACGGACTATTGGGTTATGATACAGTATCTCACGGACTAGTGTCTCTCCAGTAGTCTACACGGACAGTATGTCTCACGGACAGAGTAGTCTCCCCAGTATTTCCACGGACTAGTAGTACCTCTCCAGTATGTCTCACGACTCGTTGTCTTTACAGTAAATGTCTCACAGTACTAGTGTCTCCCCAGCATTGTCTCACAGATAGTGTATTTCCAGTATGCTCACGGATCTCAGTGTCTGCCCAGTATGTCTCACGGATGACTAGTGTACTCCCAAGTATTTCGCTACGGACATAGCCTGTACTCTCCAGTTGTCTCACAGACTCGTGTCTCTACAGTATGTCCCACGGACAGTGTCTCTCCAGTAGTACTTCACGGACTAGCTGCTCTCTACAGTCATGTCTCAACGCTACCTAGTATGTCCACGATAAGTGTATCTACAGTATGTTCTCACGGACTAGTGTCTCTACAGCATGTCTCACGGTACTAGTTATAGTCTCACGGATAGTGTCTCTACGTATGTCTCACGACTAGTGTCTCTCCAGTAGATCTCCACGGACAGTATGCTCACGGACTAGTGTCTATAGAGTTTGTATCACGGCGGACGCAGTGTCGCCCCATTATGTCCCAGACTAGTTGTCTCTCAGTATGTCTCACAGACTCGTTTCTCTCCTAGTTATGTCTCACGGGACTAAGATGTCTGCTCCAGTATGTCTCACGGACTAGTGTCTCCCCAGTATGTCTCACGGACTAGTGTCTCTCCAGTATGTCTCACAGACTCGTGTCTCCCCAGTATATCTCACGGACTAGTGTCTCCCCAGTATGTCTCACGGACTAGAGTCTCCACAGTATTGTCTCACAGAATAGTGTCTCCCCTGTATGTCTCACAGATTGGTATCTCCACAGTACTGTCTCACATATAAGTGTCTCTCCTGAATGTCTCACAGATTAGTGTCTCCCATGATGTGTTTATGAATGGTTGGTCCCCCCATGATGTGTTACATATTATAGTGTCTCACTAGTATGTCTCACGGAACAGTGTCTCCCACGCTATTTTACTCACGGTATCTAGTGGTCTCTTCCAGTATGTCTACACAGACTCAGCTGTCTTTCGTAGTATGTATACTACAGACTAACGTGTCTATCCCAGTATGTCTCACAGACTAGTCGTCTTCAGTATTGTCTCACGGACTAATGTACCTGCCCAGTAGTCTCACGGACTAGTAATGTCTCACGGACTAGATGTCTCTACGTACTGTCTCACGCACTAGTATATCTCCGGACTAGTGTCTACCCCAGTATGTCCACGGAACTAGTGTTCTCTCCAGTATGTCTCACAGATTTCGTGTCTCTCTAGTATGGTTCACGGACTAGTGTCTCTCCAGTATGTCTACACAGGTCTAGTAGTTCTTACTAGTATTGTCTCATCGGACTAGTGTTCTCCCAGATATGTCTCACGGACTAGTGTCTCACAGTATGTCTCATGGATTCAGGGGTCTCTACAGTATCTCAATCATGTGCACTAGTTGCTATCCCAGTATAGTTTCTCACGGACTAGTTGTCTCTTACAGTATGTTCTCACCGACTAGTGTCCTACCTACAGTATGTCTCACGGACTAGTGGTCTCCCCAGTATGTCTCACTGGATCTAGTGTCTCTACAGTATGTCTTCACGGACTCGGTGCTCCTCTACAGTATGTCTTCACTGACTAGTGTCTCCCAGCTATGTTCACGCGACTAGTGTTCTCCCCAGTATGTGCTCGCAAACTTAGGACCGTCCCAGTATATCTCACGGACTAGTGTCTCCCCAGTTTTATGTCTCACAGGGACTCAGTCTCATAAAGATCTCCCACAGATGTCTACACAGTAATAGTGTCTCCCTCTTGTATGTCTCACATCACTCAGCTGTCTCCACATTATGTCTCACATATAAAGTGTCTCTTCCAGAATGACTCACAGAATTGTCAGTGTTCTCACAGTAAGTACTCACATATAAAAAAAATTTTGGGTCTCCGCTGTATGTCTCACAGACTAAGCTATGTTCTCACAGTATTGTTCAGCACAAAATATGTACTTCCCGTATGTCTCACAGAATTGGTATACTGTTTTTTTTTACTGTCTCACTAGATAGTGTTATACCCCTGTTGTCTCATGCAGACTAGATGTCTACACAGTATGAGACCTCAACAAAATAGTGTCTTCCCTAGTTTTTTGTTTTTTTAGGGTCTCCACAGTTTTGCCTCTCACAAAATAGCTGTCTTTCCCCTGTAATGTTTTTTGTCTCACAGACTAGTGTCTTTCCAGTATGTCTCACGGACTAATGTCTGCCCAGTATGTCTCACGGACTAGTATGTCTCACGGACTAGTGTCTCTACAGTATGTCTCACGCACTAGTATATCTCACGGACTAGTGTCTCCCCAGTATGTCCCACGGACTAGTGTCTCTCCAGTATGTCTCACAGACTCGTGTCTCTCTAGTATGTCTCACGGACTAGTGTCTCTCCAGTATGTCTCACGGACTAGTGTCTCTACAGTATGTCTCACGGACTAGTGTCTCCCCAGTATGTCTCACGGACTAGTGTCTCCCCAGTATGTCTCACGGACTAGTGTCTCTACAGTATGTCTCATGGACTAGTGTCTCCCCAGTATGTCTCACGGACTAGTGTCTCTACAGTATGTCTCATGGACTAGTGTCTCCCCAGTATGTCTCACGGACTAGTGTCTCTTCAGTATGTCTCACGGACTAGTGTCTCTACAGTATGTCTCACGGACTAGTGTCTCCCCAGTATGTCTCACGGACTAGTGTCTCTACAGTATGTCTCATGGACTAGTGTCTCCCCAGTATGTCTCACGGACTAGTGTCTCTACAGTATGTCTCATGGACTAGTGTCTCTACAGTATGTCTCATGGACTAGTGTCTCCCCAGTATGTCTCACGGACTAGTGTCTCTACAGTATGTCTCACGGACTAGTGTCTCCCCAGTATGTCTCACGGATTAGTGTCTCTACAGTATGTCTCATGGACTAGTGTTTCTCCAGTATGTCTCACGGACTAGTGTCTCCCTAGTATTTGTCACGGACTAGTGTCTCTTCAGTATGTCTCACGCACTAGTATGTCTCATGGACTAGTGTCTCCCCAGTATGTCACACGGACTAGTGTCTCCCCAGTATGTTTCACGTACTAGTGTCTACCCATGATGTCTCACAGGCTACTGTCTCCCCAGTATGTCTCACATACTAGTGTCTACCCATGATGTCTCACAGGCTACTGTCTCCCCAGTATATCTCACGGACTCGTGTCTCCCCAGTATATCTCACGGACTAGTGTCTCCCCAGTATGTCTCACAGACTAGTCTCTCCCCAGGAAGTCTCACAAACTAGGGTCTTCCCTGTGTATCTCACGGACTATTGCTTCCCAGTTTTTAACTTCGGGGGCTGCGGT